ATGGCCATCTATCGGGAGGGCTTTGATTGTGTTTCCTTGCCTGGCTGAAAGGGGGTTGGACTAGATGACCCCTGGGGTATCTCCCAACTCTATAATTCTATGACCTCTGGGGTCTCTCCCAACTCTTATCATTCCTTCCCTGGATGTTTTGAAGTTGAGGCATGATGGCCATCTGTTGGGAGGGCTTAGATTGCGTTTCCCTAGCTAGCTGAAAGGGGGTTTGACTAGATGACCTCTGTGGTCTCTCCTAATTCTATTATTACTTCCCTGGATGTTTTGAAGCAGAGGCTGGATGGCCATCTGTCAGGAGGGCTTAGATTGTGGCTCCTTGCCTAGCTGAAGGGGGGTTGGACTAGATGACCTCTGGGGTCTCTCCCAATTCTATGATTCCTTCCCTGGATGTTTTGAAACAGAGGCTAGATGGCCATCTGTCGGGAGGGCTTTGATTGTGTCTCCCTGCCTGGCCAAAAGGGGGTTGGATTGGATGGAAGGCCATCTGTCAGGAGAGCTTTGATTGGCTTTTCCTGCCTGGCCGAAAGGGGGTTGGATTGGATGACCTCTGGAGTCTCTACCAGTTCTATGATTATTTCCCTGGATGTTTTGAAGCAGAGGCTGGATGGCCATCTGTTGGGAGGGCTTTGATTTTGTCTCCCTGCCTGGCAGAACGAATGGGATCGGAGAGGATGGCCCTTTGGGGTCTCCCCAAACTCCCTTTTGATTCTCAACCGCACCATGCGCTATAGTCTCAGAAGCAGCAGGTGGGATATAACGTGCGCTGCAAGCCCGGCCTCCTCCAGTGTGCGAGTGTGAATGAAAACAAGATGACGCTGGGTCTCATGGCCTCCTCTTTGGGGTTCGGAGTCATGCGCAGAAAGACAATTTGCACATTTGGGGGAGGGCGGGCGCCAGTTCGGGTTGTGAATGGCGCCACCAGGCCATTGCGCACAACCGCTGTGGAATTAATGCACTTTGGCACCACTTTGACCTGCCCTGGCTCCGTGCCATGGAATCCTGGGAGTTGTAGTTTGGCTTATAAAACCTCCGACTTCCTCGATCTTGTAGCTTTGACCCCATGGGGCTTAAAAATGGTGCCGAGCAGCATTCATTGGGCAATGCGGTCGCCAGACGTGTCAGAGCCACAGCAGGAATGGGAGCATCTTGTTCTTGCATGCGCATTGAGAGTAGATGCAATCGGGAAAGGCACGATCCCATTCAGGTTTCCTTTGCACCCTACGTGCGAATCTGGGTTATTCCCTGGGTGTGGAAACCCAGCCTTAAGGAAAAACGTGTGTGGCCATCTGACGGGAGGGTGCAGCTAGGTGTGGCGAGGTGCGCGCACCACAAGACCGGTCCCTCTTCCTTCACATTCCTCCATAGAGTTGGAAGGGGAGACCTCGAGGGCTATCTAGTCCAACCCCCTTCCGCTAGGCAGGAAGACACAATCCAATCCTGTGAGAGCTGTTCAGCAGTGGAACTCTCTGCTCTGGAGTGTGGTGGAGGCTTTTAAACAGAGGTTGGATAGCAATCTGTTGGGGATGCTTTGAATGCAATTTTCCTGCTTCTTAGCAGGGGGTTGGACTGGATGGCCCATAAGGTCTCTTCCAACTTTATGATTCTATAATCCCTCCCGACAGATGGCCATCCAGCCTCTGCTCTTTACTAGACTTTACTAGACTCCACTTGTTACCATCTTCCTCCTGTGTTGTCAAAGGCTTTCATAGCTCACATAGTTGTTGTGAGTTTTCCGGGCTGACTGGCCATGTTCCAGAAGCATTCTCTCCTGATGTTTCGCCCACATCTATGGCAGGCATCCTCAGAGGTTGTGAGGCCTGTTGGAAATTAGGCAAGTGGGGTTTACATATCTGTGGAATGATGTGGAATGATGTCATTTGTTGGGAGGTATTAGCTGATTGAGGAGGAAGGAGCCAGGCTTTGATGCTACAAGGCTATTCAATGCTAATCAACCTGGCCAGTAGCAACAATCACACTTGCCTCCAACAGACAAGTTATTTCTCCCACGCTGGACATTGTCTGCTTGTGGTACATGTGAATGTTGCAATTGGGCATCTTGATTAGCATCGAATGGCCTTGCAGCTTCAAAGCCTGGCTGCTTCCTGCCTGAATAGCTGAAGACTATTTTTAAAATCACAGAGGGAGGCAAAGGCAGCTCTCAAACACTTTTGCCAAAGTCATTGCAGTAAATTGGGCATGACTTGAAGGCACACAACAACCACATTAAGGTGGTTGTCTGTTGGAAACTAGGCAAGTGGGGTTTATATATCTGTGGAACGTCCAGGCTTTGAAGCTGCAAGGCCATTCAATGCTAAGCAAGGTGGCCAATTGCAGCAATCACACTTGCCTCCAACAGGCAAGAGTTCTTTCCCCCACCCTGGACATTATTCCACAGATATATCAACCCTAATTGCCAAGTTTCCATCAGACCTTTGATTATGCCTGCCATAGATGTGGGTGAAATGTCAGGAGAGAATGCTTCTGGAATATAGCCAAACAGCCTGGAAAACTCACAGCAACCCAGTGATTCTGGATATGAAAGCGTTCGACAACAGGCCTCACAACCTCTGAGGATGCCTGCCATAGATGTGGGTGAAACATCAGGAGAGAATGCTTCCGGAATATGGCCAGACAGCCCGGAAAACTCACAGCGACTTAGTTCTGTTTAGGTGGCGTCTCTTTCCCTGCAATTTGAACCAGGACGGCAGAAAACAAGCTCAACGTGACTTCCTTGTGATGCAGAATCGCATTGGCTTTTTGAGCTGCCGCACCACATTTGATGTGCAGACACATCAAAACTCATTGCCTTAGTGGAAAATCCTGTATTTGGGGTTGGACTGCCATTCCCAGCATGCCTCGCTCTCGGGTAGATGGCCGCTGGGACTTGCAGTCCGACAACATCCGGAGGCTTACGTTGTTTTCCAGGTGTTTGAGACCAGAGGCGCTGCGGTTAATGATAGGGAGGAATATCATATGTATTTATGCGCAAAGAGGATGTTTTGATCCTAAGTCACTTGCCTAGTTTCCGACAGGCCTCACAACCCATACATGTGGGTGAAACGTCAGGAGAGAATGCTTCTGGAACACGGCCATGCAGCCCGGAAAACTCACAGCAATTTCACTCCTGATTGTGATTCCAATTTGACCAGGGCTCTTGAGAAATTATTCTGGCATTACCTTTTCCAGTTAGCTGGGGCTAACTACAGGAGCTCATCCCACTCCCTGAATTCAAACTACCAACCTTTCAGACAGCAGCTCAGCAGTTTAACCTGCTGTGTTGCTAGGACTCTTGAGTCCTGGTCAGAAATTATTCTGGCATTACCTTTACCAGTTAACTGGGGCTAACTGCTGGAGCTCATCCAGCTCCCTGAATTCAAACTACCAACCTTTCAGTCAGCAGCTCAGCAGTTTAACCCGCTGCGCCACCAGAGCTCTTGAGTTTTGGACAGAAATTATTCTGGCATTACCTTTTATAGTTAGCTGGCACTAACTACAGGAGCTCACCCTGTTATCTTTTGGTCAGCAAGTTCAGCAGCTCAGCAGTTTAACCCGCTGCACCACTGGGGGCTCCTACCAAAAGGGGTTACGAATCAGTTTTTGGTCAACTTATATATTATAATATAATATTATAATGTAATATAATACAATAATAATAAATAATAATAATACAATATTATAATTATATTTTTATATTACATGTGATATTACTAATAATATTACAATGCTGATGTAATACAATATATTAATATATGGTATTGATATTGTACTATGCTAATAATTTAATATATTGTATATGTGTGTGTGTATATATATATATATCTTTTTATTATTATTTTTACTTATAATATTTTAATGTAATACCATATACTACTACTACTAATAATAATACAATATTATAGTTATATATTTTATATTACATGTAATATTACTAACAACATTACAAGGTGTCATAAAATATAGTAATATATGTTACTGGTATTGTGCTATGCTAATAATTTAATTTATTGTGTATGTATGTATGTATATATATATATATATGGTGTAAAATATAGTAATATATGTTACTGATATTGTGCTATGCTAATAATTTAATATATTGCATATGTATATGTGTGTATGTGTGTATATATATATATCTTTGTACTATTATGTTTATTTATATAATATTTATAATATTTTAATGTAATACCATATACTACTACTAATAATAATAATACAATATTATAATTATATATTTTATGTTATATGCGATATTACTAATAATATTACAATGTGATGGTGTCGTAAAATATAGTAATATATGGTACTAATATTGTACCATGCTAATAATTTAATATATCATATATGTATGTATATGTATATATATATATATATATCTTATTATTATTTTTATTTATAATATTTTAATGTAATACCATATACTACTAATAATAATAATACAATATTATATATTTTATGTTATATGCAATATTACTAATAATATTACAATATGATGGTGTAGCACAATATAGTCATATATGGTACTAATATTGTACTATGCTAATAATTTAATATATTGTATATGTGTGTGTATATATATATATATATATATATATATATCTTTTAAAATTATTTTTATTTAGATAATAGTTATAATATTTTAATGTAATACCATATACTACTACGAATAATAATACAATATTATACTTATATATTTTATGTTATATGCAATATTACTAATAATATTACAATCTTTTTGTTATTATTTTTATTTAGATAATATTTATAATATTTTAATGTAATACCATATAGTGCTACTAATAATAATGCAATATTATATTTATATATTTTATGTTATATGCAATATTACTAATAATATTACAATGTGATGGTGTAGTAAAATATAGTAATATATGGTACTGATATGGTACTATGCTCATAATTTAATGTATGTATATATATCCTGGTATAGTCTCTTTGCTTGACCTTCTCTGTGCTCCTCTCTTCAGATTTCTCTCAATGGCGATCATGGAGTCCTCTCGCAGCGTCTCTTCCCGGGAATCTTTGTATTCGGTGGAAAGCGAGGAGGAGGACGAGGACCAGCAACGCTGCGGCGAATTTGAGGTCTTCCTTTCGGACAGCGGGAGCGATACGGAGAAGGAGCCGGTACGGACAGGCGAAGGGAGCTTCCTCTTCTCTCCGCGGTCCAGATCGGGACGGACTAACCCGGCCTTGCTTTGCCCTGAGCGCCGCTCCCGGAAGCCCGCTAAGCCCCAGCCCTTGTCTCCTTGTTGCCGTTACCCGGTGGCCGTAGCGGAGGGCGAGTACTGCAAGCGTTTGACCAATACGGAGCAGCCAGTCGCCAACCCAAAACGATTGGAAGTGGGCAGCGGGCGGAAGCGGTCAAGCGGCGCTTTGGGAGGCGGCCGGCCTTTCGGAGCCCAGTTGTCCACACAAGGGAAGAAGAGGCAGCGGAATGAGGAGACGGAGGACCGGGAACGTTTCTGCTCTCCTTGTTGGACTGAGAAGGACCACATCTTCGCGCAAAAGGTGGGTCCGGCAGCAATGGTGGCATTTGGGGTGGCGGGAGCAATTTTCCCATTGGTTTTACTCTATCGGCACTTCAGATGAGCCCAATATTTGGCCCATATTGTTCAAGTGCACGCAGCAGTTACAGATCTTGACTTAGGAGCTGGGATGTTTTCAAACGTGCGTAGGTTGTTTTGTTATCTTAGGTTTTGTCTTGTTTTTGGCCACCAAGGTGATTTGGAATAACCATCAGGAAGAATGTGTTGTCATGGCTGAAAAATTGGGTTGCTGTGACTTTCCTGGGCTGTCTGGCCTTATTCTAGAAGCATTCTCTCCTGACGTTTTGCCCACATATATGGCAGGCATCCTCAGAGGTTGGAAATTAGGCAAGTGGGGTTGATATATCTGGATGGGAGAAAGAACTCTTGCTCTGCTCTTTACTAGACTTTGCTAGACTCCTCTTGTCACCATCTTCCACCTGTGTTGTCGAAGGCTTTCATAGCTCACATAGTTGTTGTGAGTTTTCTGGGCTGTCTTGCCATGTTCCAGAAGCATTCTCCCCTGACGTTTCACCCACATCTATGGCAGGCATCCTCAGAGGTTGTGAGGCCTATTGCAAACTAGGCAAGTGAGGTTTACATATCTGTGGGATGATGTGGAATGATGTCCTTTGTGGGAGGTGTTAGCTGATTGAGGAGGAAGCAGCCAGGCTTTGATGCTGCAAGGCTATTCAATGCAAATCAAGCTGACCAGTAGCAACAATCACACTTGCCTCCAACAGACAAGTTATTTCTCCCACCCTGGACATTGTCTGCTTGAGGTACATGTGAATGTTGCAATTGGACATCTTGAATAGCATTGAATGACCTTGCAGCTTCAAAGCCTGGCTGCTTCCTGCCTGAATAGCTGAAGAGTATTTTAAAAATCATACTCTCTCAGCCTCAGAAGGAGGCAAAGGCAGCTCTCAACTACTTTTGCCAAAGTAAATTGGGAACGACTTGAAGGCACGCAATAACCGCATGTTGGAAAATAGGCAAATGAGGTTTATATATCTGTGGAATGTCCAGGCTTTGAAGCTGCAAGGCCATTCGATGCTAAGTAAGGTGGCCAATTGCAACATTCACATTTGCCTCCGACAGGCAAGAGTTTTTTCTCCCACTCTGGACATGATTAAACCTCACTTGTCAGATCCCAGTAAGGAGGCCTTTTGCAGCTGGCAGATGGTAATTTTATCAGCGCCAATTGTGTTTAAGTGCAGGCCAAGGTCTTTAGGCACTGCACCCAGTGTGCCGATCACCACTGGGACCACCTTGACTGGCTTGTGCCAGAGTCTTTGGGGTTCGATCTTGAAATCCTCATATCATGTCAGTTTTCCCAGTTGTTTCTCTTCAATCCTGCTGTCACTCAGGACTGCAACATCAACAATCCATACTTTATTATTATTACTAGCTGTCCCCTGCCACGCGTTGCTGTGGCCCAGTTTGTTGATCTGTTTCTAATATACGTAATTTCTTTATGCTTGTGGGTAAACAGTATTTCTTCTTTGTCAGTGTTGACGTGGAGAGTGTTTGGTTTGCCCACCCTGGAACATGCAACATATAATTGTTCTGCTTGAGGGTTCTGTGTGGGAAGTTTGCCCCGATTCTGTCGTTCGTGGGGTTCAGAATGCTCTTTGATTGTATGTGAACTGTGAATCCCAGTGACTACAACTCCCAAACGTCAAGGTCTATTTCCCCCAAACTCCATCTGTGTTCATATTTGGGCCTATTGAGTGCTTGTGCCAAGTTTGGTCCAGATCCATCATTGTTTGAGTCCACCGTGCTTTATGGCCAGGCGACCCCCCCTGGGCGCTGCGACCCCCAGGTTGAGAACCGCTCAAGGTCAATGCCCACCAAACCCTTCCAATATTTTCTTTTGGTCTTGGGAGTTCTGTGTGCCAAGTTTGGTTCAGTTCCATTGTTGATGGAGTTCGGAATGCTCTTTGATTGTAGGTGAACTATAAATCCCAGCAACTACAACTCCCAAATGACAAAATCATAATTTTTGAGTGATGGTCACTCCTTGTGTTGTGAGACGTTTTGTTGCCAAATTTGGTGTGATTTCGTTCATTGGTTCTTTTGCTTTTAAGGTACTCATTATGCACAGAGCATTTTTTTATATATAGATTATTATTATTATTATTTTCCACCTGCTTCAGCCTATTCATGTGTTCTCTCTTTGTTTTCTACAGTGTTGGGAACTTCAAGGCTTCGTTCGGCCTTTGATGGAGCTCCTCCACCGACTGCGGATGGGCCGCTTGAACCGAGGTGAGTCACCTACACAACTTTGGAGACGGAATATATAGTTTTGCATTGAATGTATTGAGTGGGAGGGTTCTCTGGGGCTCGAAAGGGCCACCCTTTGCCTGCCAATGCTTTAACTTAACCCCAAAGTCTGCTTGTTTAAGGAAATGGCCTTCCAACCTAGTTGTAGCTCCCAGAAAGGAGTTGGTTATGTAATTCCATTTGCTCTTTGCCACCCGACAAGGGGAGGGAGGGGGACGCATTACATAAGGGAGAAGAAAGGAGCCTCTCCTTCTCAGGTTGCAGGCGGAACACACAATGAGTGTGCTTTCTTCCAGGGCCTCTCTCCTGACTGGTTGACAATCCGGTCATCATCTCGATGTGGGTGACAGGTCATCAATAGCGTTCGCTTATAAAATCTCAAAGGGAGCTACCTTTGTTTACTCCAAAGTCAATCAGATGACTGCCTTGCCCTCCTTCCGTGGCCCAGATCTCTCCTCTTACGAGTCTCAATATCATAAATGTCAACAGACGTCCCTGCTGTCACTCAACTCTGCCTCCACCATACTTCAGAAACATATCCCGTTGTGTTGACCCTCTATCCTCCCCTTTTGCCCTCTTAAAATACCTTTTATTTTAATAAGAAACCCGGAGAGCTTCAGAAATTTGCAAAACAGATTTAGAGCCTTTCGACTAATGTAACAAAGGGGTTACTAAATTCCTTGGGTAGGGCTCCCTAGTAGCACAGCAGATTAAACTGCTGAACTTGCGGACCAAAGGGTCAGCAATTTGGATCCGGGGAGCAGAGTGAGCTCCTGCTGTTAGCCCCAGCTCCTGCCAACCTAGCAGTTCGAAAGCATGCAATTCGAGTAGCTCAATGTTATTTATTATTATTATTTATCAATAGAATACCAAGTCTGCAAACTTTGTGTTTTGTTTGTTTTTAATGCAATACAACTGTTTTGGTTCGCTCCTGACATGATAAATAAATAAATTATTTATTTACGACATTTATATGCCACCCTTCTCACCCCAAATGGGACTCAGAGTGGCTTACTATATATATATCACACACACACACACACACATATACATACATACACACACACACACACACACACACACATATACAGTATATTGTGTTATTGGCATAGTACAATGTCAGTATTATACGTTACTATATTGTACTACACCATTATATTGTAATATTATTAGCAATATTACATGTAATATAAAATATTTAATTATAATATAATATTATTATTAGTAGTAGTAGTATTGTATTGAATTACATTATAATATAAACTTTATATGTATATAAATATATTATATTATATTATTAGTAATATTATTACTAGTAATATTACATGTAATATAAAATATTTAATTATAATATAATATTATTAGTAGTATTGTATTACATTATAATATAAATATTATATGTATTTAAATATATTATATTATATTATATTATATTATATTATATTATATTATATTATATTATATTATATTATTAGCATAGCACAGGAGACAAGATGGAACTGTCCCCTGGCCCTCCCGGGAAGGTAACAGCACTCCATGCAGTCATGCCAGCCACATAACCTTGGAGGTGTCTATGGACAACGCTGGTTCTTTGGCTTAGAAACGGAGATGATCACCATCCCCCAAACTCGGACACGACTAGATTTAATGTCAAAGGGAAATCTTTACCTATTAAATTTCTTGGGAGGTTGGGTTGCTGTGAGTTTTCTGGACTGTCTGACCATGTTCCAGAAGCATTCTCTCCTGAAGTTTCGCCCACATCTATGGCAGGTTGAGGGGTCTGTTGGAAACTAGGCAAGGGAGGTTTATGTATCTGTGGAATAATGTCCAGGGTGGGAGAAAGAACTCTTGTCTGCTTGAGGCAAGTGTGAATTTTGCAATTGGCCATCTTGATGAAGAAGCCAGGCTTTGAAGCTGAAGGGCCATTCAATGGTAATCAAGGCAGCCAATTGCAATATTCACACATGCCTCAAGCAGACAAGAGCTCCCATCCACAGATATATAAACCCCACTTGCCTAGTTTCCAACAGTTCTACATCTTTAAAATCCACCAGGAAATAAAACAACATGAGAAGATCCGTCATAATTTAGACCCTTAACTTGATTGATTTTATTATGCCATTTTGTATTGTTTGTTTTATTTTATTGCACTACGTATTTTGTTGTGTTTAAGTTTCTATTGTTTTGTATTATTCTGTTGTATTATTTTTGGGCTCGGCCTCATGTTAGCCGCCCCGAGTCCCCACTGGGGAGATGGTGGCGGGGTGTAAATAAAGATTATTATTATTATTATTATTATTATTAAGTGCAGAAAAGCAAAAGTACCCCAAGTAGATGAACAAGTTTGTGTTGCACTTGAAAGGGAAGTTAGTACGTGGTTGCAAAGTAAATAATAATAATAATAATAATAATAATAATAATAATATTTGCAGGAAAGCAAAAATACCCCAAGTAGATGAATAATAATAATAATAATAATTTACTTTGCAACCATGTACTAACTTCCCTTTCAAGTGCAAGGGAAGTTAGTACGTGATTGCAAAGAAAATTATTGTTATTATTATTATTAACTGCAGGAAAGGAAAAAGTACCCCAAGTAGATGAACTAAGAATAATAATAATAATAATAATAATAATAATAATAATTTACTTTGCAACCATGTACTAACTTCCCTTTCAAGTGCAAGGGAAGTTAGTACGTGATTGCAAAGAAAATTATTGTTATTATTATTATTAACTGCAGGAAAGGAAAAAGTACCCCAAGTAGATGAACTAAGAATAATAATAATAATAATAATAATAATAATAATAATTTACTTTGCAACCATGTACTAACTTCCCTTTCAAGTGCAAGGGAAGTTAGTACGTGATTGCAAAGAAAATTATTGTTATTATTATTATTAACTGCAGAAAAGCAAAAATACCCCAAGTAGATGAACAAGTTTGTGTGGCACTTGAAAGGGAAGTTAGTACGTGGTTGCAAAGTAAATTATTATTATTATTATTATTATTATTATTATTATTATTATTAAGTGCAGAAAAGCAAAAATACCCCAAGTTTGTGTTGCACTTTAAAAGGAAGTTTATACATGGTTGCAAAGTAAAGTGTGAAGAGTGTGGCTGAGCCTCAACAAAGTCAGCATTCCCCTAGGCAGGAAGCAGCCACGCTTTGAAGCTGCAAGGCCATTCAATGCTAATCAAGCTGGCCAATTGCAGCATTTTGTATGGCTTGTACCCAAGTGCGCAGGCAGCTTGAGCCTTTGTTTAATGCCGCTTGCCGGTCACATTGTCCTTCCCATAAAAACACATCGGAAAAAGAGAGCCGTGTTTGCAAAACCAGTCTTTGGCTGCTGCATTTTTTCTCCCAGCCCTCCGAGTTTGTGCTCCTCCTTTTTGATGCAGGTGCTACTGCACACATCCGTACACGCGTGTGGCAGCGTGAGCCGAAAGGCCCGCCCCTGCTGGCCAAACACGTGCGGGCCTGCCTGTTTGCCTCCTTCCTTCCTGCTGGGCCCTCCCTTCCCTCGGGCTTCCCCAGAGCTTAGCAAGCGGCAGCTGACTGACACATGGGTCTCTTCCCCGGAGCATCCGTCCTTTTCGGTGGCATCCTATATTGGGAGCTGCTAAATCTGGAGCAGCTTTGACGCTGTTGTGTTTTTATCCAAACCAGATTCCCAAAACCTTTTTGCATCTAACCAAAGACTCCTTGTCTGGGTTCTTGCAGCACATTTGGAGCCTCGGTGTGCATCCGTACCATACAAACAATGCACTCCAACACCATTTTAATTTCTATGGAATCCCAACAGCTGTAGTTCTGCAAAATCTTTAACTGGTGTCTCACCAAACTGCAAAATCCCACGATTCCATAGCATTGAGCAGTGGCAATCAAAGTGGTCTCAAGCTGCATTAACTCTACAGTGTAGATGCACCCCCTGAGCACCCCATTTCCCAAGGAGCCGGACCAGAATGAGGAAAAAGTTGGCAGGATTTGTTATTATTCCTCCTCAACTTTGCTGGGTATTCTTATCATAGAATCATAGAACATAATAGAAAAGTAGTAGTAGTAGTAATAATAATAATAATAATATCCAAACAACAGCCAGCAGAGTGATCTCGTCTGTTGTAGACTCATCTTGTGTTCCAAATAATAGTAATAGTAATAATAATAATAATAATAATAATAATAATAATAATAATAATAATAGAGTCTACAGCAGTGATCTTGTCTGCTGTAGACTAATCTTGTGTTTCAAATAATAGTAATAATAATAATAATATAATATATCCAATACAACAGCCAGCAGTGATCTTGTCTGCTGTAGACTCATCTTGTGTTTCAAATAATAGTAATAATAATAATAATAATAATTCCAATACAACAGCCAGCTGAGTGATCTCGTCTGCTGTAGACTCATCTTGTGTTTCAAATAATAGTAGCAGTAGTAATAGTAATAATAATAATAATAATAATTAATTCAATACAACAGCTAGCAGAGTGATCTTGTCTGCTGTATACTCATCTTGTGTTTCAAATAATAGTAATAGTAATAATAAGAATAATAAGAATAATAAATCTAAATCAACAGCCAGCAGAGTGATCTTGTCTGCTGTAGACTCATCTTGTATTTCAAATAATAAGAATAATAATAATAATAAATCCAATACAACAGCCAGCAGAGTGATGTTGTCTGCTGTAGACTCATCTTGTGTTTCAAATAGTAATAGTAGTAGTAGTAGTAGTAATAATAATAATAATAATAAATCCAATTCAACAGTCAACAGAGTGATCTCATCTGCTGTAGACTCATCTTGTGTTTAGTAGATCAATAGGTATCGCTCCAGCAGGAAGGTAACAGCGCTCCAAGTATTCATGCTGGCCACATGACCTTGGAGGTGTCTATGGACAATACCGGCTCTTCGGCTTAGAAATGGAGATGAGCACCAGAGTTTGACATGACTAGTCTTAATGTCACGGGAAAACTTTTACATTTACTTTAGGGTTGGAAGAGACCCTAAGGGTCATCTGTTCCAACCCAATGCCAGTTTAAGCACCCCTAAGAGATGGCCATCCAGCCTCTGTTTACAAGCCTCCAAAGAAGGCCCTTTGTAGTGTCAATGTGCCTCTGTTCCTCTGAATGTGCGACTTGTGTTCTTCCTCGTGTGGCTATTAGATCAATGGCGATAATCAGTTAATTGACAGGTCTTTTTCTTCCTCTCTTCCTTTGTGCTCAGGGCTTAGCAGCTTCCAGCAGAGCGTGGCCATGGACAGGATCCAGCGGATAATCGGCGTCCTGCAGAAGCCGGAAATGGGGTAAGCAAGGAAAGGATTATGTCCTCCTCCTTTGACACCTTTAGAAAGACTTTTTGAGTGCCCCCATCCATCTTTTTGCCTCTCTTTGTGTTAAGAGTGGGTAGTAAAGGGAAATTGCAGACTTTAGCAAGACCAACAGACAGCTTTGCCCCAATCCTGCTAGTTTTCTTTAACCATCTCTTTGTCCACATCCCTTATCTAATGGCTTTTTCCTCCTGTTCTTTTCCAGGGAGCGATATTTAGGCACGTTGCTCCAGGTGGAGAGGATGCTGAAGGTCTGGTTCCCCCACGTTTTGAAAGACTCCGATGTCAACAATAGCATTGAAGAAGAAGCAGAGGAACGGTGCAAGATGGCAAAGGTGAGAGATGAGGCTTGATACTTAATCATTGCATTAGGATATTAGTGCGGCATGTCAAAATGTGAGCATACAGACTTCCTCCCTTGCATGTAGAAAGTTAGTTTTGCAGGCTTGGCTTCAGCATTCTTGCAAGTGTTTGTCTTTATGTGCAGGGAATGGCATATTTGTTTGCCTTATATGTTGGAAATACTATTATTAATATTATTATATTACTATTATTATTATAATTTATTTGAAACACAAGATGAGTCCCTTCAGGGAGATAGGGCGGTCTACAAATAAAGTTGTTATTGTTGTTGTTATTATTATTATTATTTGGATGCAATAATATAATATTATTATTATTATCATTTGGATGCAATAATATATTATTATTATTATTATTATTATTATTATTATTTGGATGCAATAATATAATAATAATGTTATTATAAAATATTTATAATAATAATAATAATAATAATAAGGTTGGTAAAGGTTGTCCCCTGACATTAAGTCCAGTCATGTCCGACTCTGGGACTCTGGTGCTCATCTCCATTTCTAAGCCAAAGAGCCAGCGTTGTCCGTAGACACCTCCAAGGTCATGTGGCCAGCATGACTGCATGGAGCACCGTTACCTTCCCACCTGAGCGGTACCTATTGATCTGCTCACATTTGCATGTTTTCGAACTGCTAGGTTGGCAGAAGCTAGGGCTGACAGTGGAAGCTCACGCTGCTCCCCATTGAACCTGCGACCTTTCGATCAACAAGCTCAGCAGCTCAGTGCTTTAACCCACTGCGCCACGGGGGCATTATTTAAACTGTTATGTTTATTCATATCATGATCTAATCACCATGCTCAATATATCCCATATGAATGGGGCTTTTGGGATAACAAAATACCTCTAGACCATGGCCATATAGAGAGGAATCAACCAGGCACATCTTAACAACTCTCAACAAAAGATTCCCCCAGGCTCAGCCAGGCCTTCAAATGCTAATGAAGGTGGTCAGTTGAAACATTCACACCTAGCTCCAGCAGAGAAGAGCTCTTTGCCCCACCCCAGCCATTCCACAGATATATAAACCCATTTTCCTAATTCCAACAGACCTCACTACCTCTGAGGATGCTTGCCATAGATGCAGGTGAAACGTCAGGAGAAAATGCCTCTAGAACATGGCCACATAGCCCGAAAAAACCTACAAGAACCTAGTGATTCCAGCCATGAAAGCCTTCGACAATACAAAATATAATGTTGTTATTATTATTATAACATACATATTATATCACACCAGAAGCAACTTGCAATTTCTCAAGTCACTCCTGACACACACAAAAAATATTATTAATATGCGTTAATATAGTCACTTTTGGGATTCAATAATGGGATTCAAGGTAGAGCATATAGTCAGCCTTCGACAAGACAAAAAAGCGGGGAAATTGCAACTATTGTTAAGCCTCGCAAACTCTTACTTCATACTCTTAATAGCATTTTTGTGACTTACTAAACTTTTTTATAATTGAGTCTTGTTATCACACGTCCTTTCTTAGCCAGCATAATTAATAGCGAGGAGTCCCAACACCAATATGGCGGGCTGCGTGATAACTTGTTTTAAATGGAGTAGTGAATTCTGAACTTTCTGTTTGTGCAGCCATAATAGCTTTAGCACAGCTGGTTAAACTGCCAGCTGTAGAAACTTTTGCCCGTCGAAAGGTTAGCAGTTCAAGCCTGGGTTGGGGTGAGCTCCCACCGTCAGCCCAGCTTCTGCCCACCTAGCAGATCGAAAACAGTACTGTGTATAGATAAATAGGTACCGCTTTTAGCGGGAAGGTAATAAAAGGCTCCCATAAGTATGGAAGATGGAGCAACAGCACCACCTTGTGGCCAGAGTTGAGCACAACCTCCAGATGCTATTTATTTATTTACTCAACCTATTGAAATCCACCCTTCCTCTACATGTGGACAATTATTCAATGCCGTAAAACACATACAATTCCAATAATATTAAAATTAAAATTACATTAAATTTATTTTAAAACATTTAATTCTATACTAAAATCATGCCTGCCCATAATCATAGTTCAAGCCGTTCTATAGTCATTGCACATATTCCAAATTTGTTATTGCACTGCACTATTCTCCGAAAGCCTGATCCCAAAGCCAAGTTTTTAATTTTTTATCTGAAAGCTAGGAAGGAGGAGGCTGATCTGATGTCACTACAGCTGAGGGGCCACCACTGAGAAGGCCCTGTCTCTGGGTGGAGATAGAAAAGATGGGAAAAGCCTATACCTTTGTTTATGTATTGTTTGTCCTTGTTAATTGGACAACAGCATTGAATGTCTGCCATGTGTGTTCTGTAATCCACCCTGAATCCCCTTGAGGAGATAGAGCAGAATATAAATAAAGTAGATGATGATGATGATGATGATGATGATGATTATTATTATGATGATTATTATTATTATACACAAGATTCGTACACAGCAAACAAGATCACTATGCTGGCTTTTGTATTCAGTCACATGTCGGACACTTCCCAAGTGTCTAGGACTGTGTAATGTCTCGGTAAATAATGCGTACAGATCTGAGTAGGGTAGCCTTTTGCAGCTGACAGATGGTAATTTTGTCAGCGCCAATTGTGCTTAAGTGCAGGCCAAGGTCTTTAGGCACCACACCCAGTGTGCTGATCACCCTTGACTGGCTTGTGCCAGAATCTTTTCAATTCGATCTTTAAATCCTTGTATCGTGTCAGCTTTTCCAGTTGTTTCTCTTCAATCCTGCTGTCACCTGGGATTGCAACATCGACAATCCATACTTTGTTTTTTTAACACGATTGTGAGGTCAGGAGTATTGTGCTCCAAAACTCTGTCTGTCTGAATTCAGAAGTCCCAGAGTAGTTTGACGTGTTCATTTGCTGTAACTTTTTCCGGCTTGTGATCCCACCAGTTCTTTGTCGCAGGCAGATGGTATTTGTGGCACAACTTCCAATTAATCACCTGAGCAACGGTGTTGTGCCTCTGCTTGTAGTCTGTCGGCATGATCTTCTTGCAGCAGCTGAGAATTATTATTATTATTATTATTATTATTATTATTGATTGTGATGCACTGTGGTTCCACGGGAAATAGCTGAGATTAGGGAGAAAAGGAAGTAGCCAACTGATTCCTGAATAATCTGAAATATGCATGCTTTTGTTGCTTTTGTTTCTCTTGTCTATCTTTGTTTCGCCTTTGCCTGCTTGGATGTCGGTATTACAAACTAGAAAGTGTCTTGTGTCTTTGTTTTGTCATTAACTGGATGCTTTTTTCCCTCTTTTAATCCAGCAGTCTTCCATGGCAAAGAACGTAAAGGACAATACAGGGTGGAAACGTGTCCAGGACTCGAGGGAAAGCCCCCCGACAGAGGAGCTCCTCCAGACGCACCTCACGGACTCGGACTCGCCGGGCCACGAAGCCAGGGAGGAGCCGCCACGCTTCCAGGGTGACTGGCCGGCCATGAACTTGACCTGGATCCACACCTCGCCCATTTCGAACCCTCCTTTGGCCCAAGCGGGTGCCACCTTTGGGCCGGCCTTCCTGCACCCACCCACACAAGCCTATGGGGTGGTCGTCTTCCTCCCGGACCCTTCCGGAGCCTTTGCCCGCGCCACGTCCCTGGCTTCCGTCCCGTCTTGCTGCCACTCCGAGGTGCCACTCCCAGGCTCCGGGGGCCCTCCTCGGTGCCAGAGCATGCCAAGCGCCGCGAGGCCGGTGGGATGCTGCCCCGGAGGAGGGACCCTCAGCCGCCTCTCGCGGTCTCTGCCCAACCTGCCCGCGTCCAGCACTGTATTGAAGGAACTGACAAAGTCTCCACGTCTCTGCACTTCCTGAAACTTGGCTCCGTTCGCATCTCCCAAAATGTGTGAATTTTTCTTTCCATCGACATCTTCCTTTTTCTTGTTATATTTTTTTTAACTTTTTAAAGAACTTTATTTAAATGTCGTTTCATGTACGTCCAAGAGGCGATGCAAAAAGCCTGTCCGTCTCCCAGGCTTGGGGAGAATGTTTCAATAAATGCCACGGCAATGGCTGTCAAATGAGGTTAATGCGTGTGTGGGTTTTGTGCGTTGCCTTTCTGTCACAACAGTTTTTCTCAGCCTTCCCAATGCCACAGTCCCTTAATAGAATTCCTCATGTTGTGGTGACCCCTACAAATAACTTTTTCTACTTCATATCTGTCATTTTGCTCCCAATATATTTATTTTTTTGTCATGTCAGGAGCGACCTGAGAAACTGCAAGTCGCTTCTGGTGTGAGAGAATTGGCCGTCTGCAAGGACGTTGCCCAGGGGACGCCCGGATGATTTGATGTTTTTATCATCCTTGTGGGAGGCTTCTCTCATGTCCCCGCATGAGGAGCTGGAGCTGATAGAGGGAGCTCATCCGCCTCTCCCCGGATTCGAACCTGCGACCTGTCGGTCTTCAGTCCTGCCGGCACAGGGCTTTAACCCACTGCGCCACCGGGAGCTCCTAATACCCAATATGCCCAAATACGAATCCTGGTGGGGTTGGGAAGATTGAGGTCATTTGGGAGTTGTAGTGGCTGGGATTTATAGTTCACCTACAATCAAAGAGCATTCTGAACATCTATATAAATAAAAATGTAATGTTCATTTGTGGGATTAGCAAAACTCAAAAACCACAGGACGAATTGACGCCAAATTTGGACACAAGACATCTCTCAGGCCAACGAGTGACCATCACTCATAAAAATATTGATAACACAGCAGAAGGGACTTAAAAAGCCAAAAAAACCAGATTACAACATACATGCAAAGCCACATACATATACACATACACACACACATATATATACACACATATATGCATATACACACACAAAACACATACACAGAAGGAAGGGTAGAGAAGGAAGGAAGGAGAGAAGAAGGGAAATAAGGAATGGAAAAAGAAGGGTAGAGAAGGAAGGAGGGAAAGAAAGAGGGAAGGAGAGAAGGAAGGAAAGAAAGAAGGGTAGAGAAGGAGGGAGAGAAGAAGGGAAAGGAGAAAGGAAGGAAAAAAAGGGTAGAGAAGGAAGGAAGGAGGAGAGAAAGAGAGGAAGGAGAGAGGAAGGAAAGAAAGGGGAGAGAAGGAGGAGAGAAAAAGAAAGAAGGGAAGAAGAAGGGGGAGAGAGAAAGGGGGAAGGGAGAGAAGGAAAAAGGAGAAAGGAAGAAAGGAGAGAAAGAAGGAGGGAAGGAAGAGAAAGAAAGAAAGAAGGGAGAGAAGGAAGGAAAGGAAGAGGAGGGAGAGAAAAAGTAGAAGGGGAAGGAAGAAGGAGGAAGAAGAGAAAGAGGGAGGGAAGGAAGGAAGAGAGACAAGGAAGGATGGAACCAAAGACCAAAGAAGGGAGAGAGAGAAACAGGTAGAGAAGGAAGAAAGAAAAAGAAAGAAAAAGAGGGAAGGAAGGAAAAAGGAAAAGAAGGAAGGAGAGAAAGAGGGAGGGAAGGTTGGCCACAGCAACGTGTAGTGGGTACAGCTAGTATAATATAATTGATAATATTATAATGTATACTACTACTACTAATAACATGATATTATAATTATATATATTTATATTAAGTGTAATATTACTAATAATATTACAGTATAATGTTATAGTACAATGGAATATATAATATATAATATTGTGCTATGATAATATATTGTATTTACTTTTTACTTGTAAGCCACTCTTGAGTGTCCTTCGGGATGAGAAGGGCGGCATATAAATGTCGAAAATAAATAAAGATATAAACTCCACCAACGATGGAATTGAACCAAACTTGACACACACGACGACTCCCATGACGAACAGAAAATACTGGAAGGGTTTGATGGGCATTGACCTTGAGTTTTGGAGTTGTAGTTCACCTACATCCAGAAAGCATTGTGGACTCAAGCAGTGATGGATCTGATAAGGACCAAACTTGGCACAAATACTTAATATGCCCAAATGGGAACACTGGTGGAGTTTGGGGGAAATAGATCTTGACATTTGGGAGTTGTAGTTGCTGGGATTTCTAGTTAACCTACAATCAGAGAGCATCCTAAACCTCACCAATGATAGAATTGGGCCAAACTTGGCACGGATACTCAATGTGCCCAAATGGGAACACTGGTGGAGTTTGGGGAAAATAGACCTAGACATTTGGGAGTTGTAGTTGCTGGGATTTCTTGCTAACCTACAATCAAAGAGCACTCTGAGCCCAGCCAGCAATGGATCTGCACCAAACTTGGCACATTACGTACATGGCCGACATTAAATACTGCTGAAGGGGGGCTGTTTTTGAATTCTGGGAGTTGTAGTTTACCAACACTCAGAAAAGACTCTGTACCAAACTGATGATGGAAATAGTAAACTTTCCACACATACCTGACATGCCAAACTTGGAATACTGGTGAGGTATCAAAGGGACTGACGTCAGAGGTTGAGAGTTATAGTTCACCCACATCATAGAATCGTAGAGTTGGAAGAGACCTCGTGGACCATCAGGTCCAACCCCATTCTGCCAAGAAGCAAAGAAAATCACATTCAAATCACCCTCGTCTGCTTAAAAGCCTCCAAAGAAGGAGCCTCCACTACACTCCGGGGCAGAGAGTTCCACTGCTGAACAGCTCTCACAGCCAGGAAGTTCTGCCTCATGTTCAGATGTAGTTTGAAGCCATGGCTCCATTGTGTCCTAGTCTCCAGGGCAGCAGAAAACAAGCTTGCTCCCTATGGCTTCCCCTCACATATTTATACATGGCTATTATGTCTCCTCTCAGTCTTCTCTTCTGCAGGCTAAACATGCCCAGTTCTTTAAGCCGCTTCTCATAGGGCTTGTTCTCCAGGCCCTTGATCCTTTGAGCTACTTTGAATACTGGTGGGGTTTTTTTTGGGGGGGGGGGGAACTGACCCAAAATGATGGTAATTGTAGTTCTCCCTGCATCCAGAGAACTCTTGTGACCCCCACCAATGATGGAGCTGAACCAAACTGGGCACCGAGACCCAACGTGGCCAACTGTAAATACAGGCGGTGTTTGGGGGTGACTGATCTTGACATTTGGGAGTTGTAGTTGCTGGGATTTATAGTTCACCTACAATCAGAGAGCATCCTGAACCCCACCAATGATAGAATTGGGCCAAACTTGGTACGGATACTCCATATGCCCAAATGGGAACACATATGTGTGTATGTATGTGTGTGTGTATATATATGTGTGTGTATGTAGATGTATGTGTATATTTGTGTGTGCTTGGGTATATATATATAAGTATGTGCATGCATGTGTGCATGTGTATATGTATATCGGTATGTGTGTGTGTATGGATGGTGTATTTTTGGGGGTTTTAAGTCCATACTGCTAGGTTTGTTTTGTATTTTTAGGGGTGATGAACACTCATTGGACTGTTAGGTATCTTGTGTCCAAATTTCGTGTCAATTTGTCCAGTGGTTTCTGAGTTACGTTAATCCCACAAACGAACATTACGTTTTTATTTATTTATTTTATTTATTTATGTATTACGGTTGCTTACCCCGCCCTTCTCACCCGGAGGGGGACTCAGGGCGGCTTACACAAACAAGGCACAATTCGATGCCTGTATTACAAAAACATAACATCAAAAACATAACATCAATAACAACAATAATTATAACACTGATAACAATTAACGTAAACAATCAATATTATCGGCAGGGATAGCCATAAACCCGTAAAAACAATTAAAACAATAAAAGCAATACAAACCTCATTGCTGGTCAGCGTTTAACCGACTCATAGTTAGGTTCTACTTTCCACACATTGTTGGTCCTATCATTCTGGTTCCATGTCTAATTGTCAGGGTGCCCAAAGGCCTGGTCCCAGAGCCACGTCTTTACCTTCCTCCTGAAGGCAAGGAGGGAAGTTGAAGCCCTGATTTCCCCCGGGAGTGAGTTCCACAGGTGAGGGGCCACCACTGAGAAGGCCCTGCTCCTCGTCCCCACCAGCCTCACTTGTGATAGTGGTGGGGTCGAGAGCAGGGCCTCCCCAGATGATCTCAGGCTCCGAGGTGGGACGTAGAGGGAGATACGTTCGGACAGATACACTGGACCGGAACCGTACAGGGTTTTGTAGGTCAAAACCAGCACCTTGAATTGTGCTCGGAACTGAATCGGCAGCCAGTGGAGCTGACATAACAGGGGGGTGGTGTGTTCCCTGTATGTCGCTCCAGTAAGCAGTCTAGCTGCCGCTTGTTGGACCAGTTGGAGTTTCCGAACAGTCTTCAAGGGCAACCCCACGTAGAGTGCGTTGCAGTAGTCTATACGGGATGTGACAAGAGCGTGGACCACTGTGGCCAGATCAGACTTCCCGAGGTACGGGCGCAACTGGTGCACAAGTTTTAATTGCGCAAAAGCTCTCCCGGCCACCGCTGAGACCTGGGGTTCCAGGCTCAGCGATGAGTCCAGGATCACTCCCAAGCTGCGAACCTGCGACTTCAGGGGGAGTGGAACCCCATCCAGTACAGGCTGTAACCCTATACCCTGTTCAGCCTTACGACTGACCAGTATTTAGATTTATTTACTATATTTATAGCCCGAAAGGCGACTCGGCCCTCCGTGCCGCTTTGAATTCTGCAGCACTGCTGGTCACAGCTGACCTCCAGTTAAAGCGCTCAAGGGCCAGGGCTTCCCACTTCTCTGTGTCTATGCCAGAGTTTTTAAGGTTGGCTTTAAGCCCATCTTTCAATCTCTCTAATATATCTCTGTAATTATTGACTTTTGAAGTGTGGCCTTTGGGCCTAGATCCTGGCTTTTGTCTCAAACTGGGAAACCTACAAACTGGGAGGGAAAAGTTGCTCAAAATGTATCTAAATGTATAAAGTAAGTTTCTTGTCAAAACTAGGCTGGAGTACAATGATGAAAAAGTGGAAAATTCACCTCAGAAAGCGTCTACTTGCGTTCGGCGTTGTCTTCTCCATTGAGAGCGCTGTTTGGACCCGCAAAGGGTGAAGTGTCCCTCCGCGATGCCACTGGGGGAAAAAAGATTGACAGGTGTCTATGAGGGGAAAGGAGAAAGGAAGGAAGGAGACAGAGCCATGTTGCCATGGAGACGGTGTGAGGAAGGCCCCCTTCAGAGCTGGAGAAGGGAGAAAGGAAAGAAATCTAAACCACCCTGTGGGAAATGGAGGTTAGTATTGGAATATACTAATAATAATTAGTATAATATTATATTCAGCCCTTTCTGTCCTTGCTACTGGTTGTGATGGAGCTGGGTTGCTACTGAGGAGAGCATCAGGCCTGTCAGGCCTCGCCTCTGCGTTGCCATGGTGACCAGGACTAGGCCGCAAGCCTGCGAAAGGGTGGTGCGAAAGAGGCGGGGTTTCCGGTTCCGGTTTGGCAGCCTCACAGTTCTCCAGAAGGCGAAGAGAAGCGGTGAGTGAGCCTCGCGTGCGGGAAAGGGAAATAATATGGAAAACCTTTCTGACTTTGCCCACTCCTTTAATGGCCTTAAAGGGATATTAAAGGAGATCCTAGACTCCTAGAAGGGAACCCCAAGGGTCATCCAGTCCAACCCCTTTTGGCACAATCAAAGCCCTCCCTACAGATGGCCATCCAGCCTCTCCTTAAAACCTCCCCAGAGAAGGAGACTGCGTCATAATCAGTGTCATAAATATTATCTATTATTATTATTATTATTATTATTAGTATACCCTAGTTAGAAAGCAGGAAGACACAATCAAAGCCCTCCCGACAAATGGCCATACTGCCTCTGCTTAAAACCTCCAGAGAAGGAGACTGCATCTTCATCATTATCAAGGATTATTATCTGTCTATTATTATTAGGCCCTAATTAGAAAGTAGGAAGACACAATCAAAGCCCTCCCGACAGATGGCCACCCAGCCTCTCCTCAAAACCCCCCAGAGAAGGAGATTGCATCTTCATCATTATCAAATATAGTTATTATTATAGGAAGACACAATCAATAATCATTATCAATTATTACTATTAGAGTCTAGTTAGAAACTTGGAAGACACAAATTATCAAGGATTATTATTGTTATTAGACCCTAGTTAGAAGGTAGGAAGACACAATTAAAGCCCTCCCGACAGATGGCCATCCAGCCTCTCCTTAAAACCCCCCAGAGAAGGAGACTGCGTCATAATCAGTGTCATAAATATTATCTATCTATCTATCTATCTATCTATCATTATTATTATCGGGCCCTAGTTAGAAATTAGGAAGACACAATCAAAGCCCTCCCGACAGATGGCCATCCAGCCTCTCCTCAAAACCCTCCAGAGAAGGAGACTGCGTCATAATCAGTGTCATAAATATTATCTATCTATCTATTATTATAGTTATTATTATTAGACCCTAGTTAGAAAGTAGGAAGATACAATCAATAATCGTTATCAATTATTATTATTATTATTATTATTAGTCCTTAGTTTGAAAGTAGGAAGACACAATCAAAGCCCTCCCGACAGATGGCCGTCCAGCCACTCCTTAAAAGCCCCCAGAGAAGGAGACTGCGTCATAATCAGTGTCATAAATATTATCTATTATTATTATTATTAGGCCCTAGTTAGAAAGTAGGAAGGCACAATCAAAGCCCTCCCGACAGTTGGCCACCCAGCTTCTCCTTAAAACCTCCCCAGAGAAGGAGACTGCGTCATAATCAGTATCATAAATATTATCTGTCTATTATTATTAGGCCCTAATTAGAAAGTAGGAAGACACAATCAAAGCCCTCCCGACAGATGGCCACCCAGCCTCTCCTCAAAACCCCCCAGAGAAGGAGATTGCATCTTCATCATTATCAAATATAGTTATTATTATAGGAAGACACAATCAATAATCATTATCAATTATTACTATTAGAGTCTAGTTAGAAACTTGGAAGACACAATCAAAGCCCTCCCGACAGATGGCCATCCAGCCTCTCCTTAAAAACCCCCAGAGAAGGAGACTGCGTCATAATCAGTATCATAAATATTATCTATCTATCTATTATTATAGTTATTATTATTAGACCCTAGTTAGAAAGTAGGAAGATACAATCAATAATCGTTATCAATTATTATTATTATTATTATTATTAGTCCTTAGTTTGAAAGTAGGAAGACACAATCAAAGCCCTCCCGACAGATGGCCGTCCAGCCACTCCTTAAAAGCCCCCAGAGAAGGAGACTGCGTCATAATCAGTGTCATAAATATTATCTATTATTATTATTATTATTATTATTATTATTATTAGGCCCTAGTTAGAAAGTAGGAAGGCACAATCAAAGCCCTCCTGACAGTTGGCCACCCAGCTTCTCCTTAAAACCTCCCCAGAGAAGGAGACTGCATCATAATCAGTATCATAAATATTATCTTTTATTATTATTAGGTCCTAGTTAGAAAGTAGGAAGACACAATCAAAGCCCTCCCAACAGATGGCCATCCAGCCACTCCTTAAAACCCTCCAGAGAAGGAGACTGCATCTTCATCATTACCAAATATAGTTATTATTATAGGAAGACACAATCAATAATCATTATCTATTATTATTATTAGGTCCTGGTTAGAAAGTTGGAAGACACAATCAAAGCCCTCCCTACAGATGGCCATCCAGCCTCTCCTTAAAATCCCCCAGAGAAGGAGACTGCGTCATAATCAGTGTCATAAATATTATCAATTATTATTATTATTAGGCCCTAGTTAGAAAGTTGGACGACACAATTAAAGCCCTCCTGACAAATGGCCTTCCAGCCTCTCCTTAAAAAACCCCAGAGAAGGAGATTGCATCTTCATTATTATCAAGGATTATTATTATTGTTATTAGACCCTAGTTAGAAGGTAGGAAAACACAATCAAAGCCCTCCCAATGGATGGCCATCCAGCCTCTCCTTAAAACCATCTGGAAAAGGAGACTGCATCATAATCATTATCAATTGTTATTATTATTGTTATTGGACCCTAGTTAGAAAGTCAAAAGACACAATCAAAACCCTCCCGACAGATAGCCATCCAGTCTCCTCAAAATCTCAAGGAGACTCCATCATCATCATTATTAAATATTACTATTATTATTAGATCCTAGAGTTGGAAGGCAGGGAGACACTATCAAAGCCTTTCCGAGAGATGGCCATCCAGCTTCTCCTTAAAACCTCAAGAGGTGACTGTGCCATCACCATCATCATCAAAGATTATTATTATTATTATTATTATTATTATTATTATTATTATTATTAGAACCTAGAGTTAGAAGGTAGGAAGACTCAATCAAAGCCCTCCTGACAGATGGCCACCCAGCCTTTCTTAAAAGCCCGCGGAGAAGGAGACTGATATTATTATTATTATTATTAGAACCTAGAGTTAGAAAGCAGAAAGACTCAATCAAAGCCCTCCTGACAGATGGCCACCCAGCCTCTTCTTAAAAGCCCGCGGAGAAGGAGACTGCATCATCATCATCATAATCAAAGATTATTATTATTAGACCCTAGAGTTGGAATGGGCTCCCTGGTGTTGCAGCAGGTTAAACCGCTGAGCTGCTGCACTTGCTGATAAAATGGTCAGCAGTTCAAATCTGGAGAGTGGGGTGAGCTCCTGCTGTTAGCCCCAGCTTCTGCCAACCTAGCAGTTCGAAAACATGCAAATGTGAGTAGATGAATAGGTACCGCTCCGGTGGGAAGGTATGGCCGCTCCATGCAGTCATGCCGGCCACATGACCTTGGAGGTGTCTGCGGACAACGCCGGCTCTTCGGCGTACCTTCTACTCTGGAAATTTCGATTTTGTGTCTGCCACAAACTATGCTGAATTGGCTGAGACTCGACGAGATATTAATTGAAAAACTAGAGCAAAATATGCTGCAGGATGTCCCTCAAAAACAGAGTTTGTGCAGTTTAATAAACTTTTTTTTCCATGTTTTATTGATAGGACCAATTAGGAAATGACATATATAACCCAGGAACAAAATTTGTGTAACATAGTGTTATATTTTAGTGATGTTCCACAATGTGGACGGAGGATTTGTGGGAGGCCAGCATTTCTGGAAGAATAAAATTGTGGGAAGCAGACGGTGATGTCGATGATCTCTCATTTTGTGTGTGTGTTTACATGTCTTGTCTTTAACATCTAGTTGAGAAAAGTCAGAAACCCATCGCCTTCATCTGCTTGATGTAGGAATAACTACACACAGGATGTCCCGTCACTTGAAATTTGTTGCGCGGACGGTGATGGTCCCCAACGGCAATGTGGAGGCTGCCTATCGCGTCCTTAACAGGTAAACCTTCTGCTTTAAATATGTCCGTAGTAGTACTGTGAGCATTTGCATTTAGCTTTGGTGGCAACATGAGTGGTCATAGGCTGATATTTATTTATTTATTATTTAGCATATTTATATGCCGCCCTTCTCACCCCGAAGGGTACTTAGAGCGGCTTACGATATATATACACACACATACACACACACACATACAATATATTATATTACTAGCTGTCCCCTGCCACGTGTTGCTGTGGCCCACAAGGGGGTTCTGTGTGGGAGGTTTGGCCCAATTCTATCATTGGTGGGGTTCAGGATGCTCTGTGATTGTGGGTGAACTATAAATCCCAAGAACTACGGCTCCCAAATGTCAAGATTCTATTTTCCCCAAACTCCACCAGTGTTCACATTTGGGCATATTGAGTATTTGTGTAGAGTTTGGTCCAGATCCATCATTGAGTCCACTGTGATCTCTGGATGTAGGTAAACTACAACTCCAAAACCAAAGGACACTGCCCACCAAACCCTTCCAGTATTTTGTTGGTCATGGGAGAACTGTGTGCCAAGTTTTGTGGGGTTCAGAATGCTCTTTGATTGTAGGTGAACTATAAATCCCAGCAACTACAACTCCCAAATGACAAAATCATTTATTTTTTTTAGTGAAGGACATATATTGGGTTGTTAGGTGTCTTGTGTCCAAATTTGGTGGCAATTCCCCCAGTGGTTTTTGAGTTCTATTAATCCCACAAACGAACATTACATTTTTATTTATATAGACTAGCATAGTACAATATCAGTATTAAATATTATTATATTGTACTACATCATTATATTGTAATATTATTAGTAATATTACATGTAATATAAATATATAATTATAATATCATATGATTATATTGCATTACATTATAATATTATAAATATATGTATATACAATATATTATATTACATTATATTAAATTATTAGAATAGCACAGGAGACAAGGTGGAACTGTCCCCTGGCCCCCCTCTCTCTTCACTCTGGCCCAGAGCGGCAATTGGTGTTGGGGGGAGGGGGTCCCCAACTTGGTTGGCTTGTTAGTGGTTCTGTGTAAGTTTTAGGGTCCTTCCACACAGCCATATAACCCAGAATATCAAATCAGAAAATCCCACAATATCTGATTTGAACTGAGTTATCTCAGTCCACACTGCCATATATTCCAGTTCAAAGCAGAAAATGTGAGATTTTATTCCGATGTGTGGAAAGGGCCTTAGATAACAAATATTGGAATTGCAGAGTTGGAATATATGGTGCCATATGTTTACGTGCCTCTTGTTTTAGGTTGTCTTGTTTGGTTGTACTGCTCCCTGCTGGACTGAGATCTCAAATACAGGTTGAAAATAATACTCTTGTGTTGAAATGAGTCTTGGAGGAGATACTGTCGTTTTTCCCAATGTAAATCCCACATTGATGTGGGCAAAACGTCAGGAGAGAATGCTTCTACAATATGACCATACAGCCCGGAAAACTCACAGCAACCCACTATTATTCTACAATTCTAACTAAAAAATAACAATAATAATAATGGATTGACCCCATCTTTGCTGAAGAAATGTAATAAATTAGTCCACAATCTTTCTTGAAATATATTAGAGATTTCTAAGGATTTCTCTAATGAGAGATTTCTCCTTAGAGGCAATGATATAGGCAGTCACGAAAACCTCACAACCTCTGAGGATGCTTATTTATTTACGACATTTGTATGCCGCCCTTCTCACCCCAAGAAGCACTGCCTGAACATCAAGCAAAAAGTGGGTGCTAGAAACAATATCATACGAAAGCTGACTGGCACAACCTGGGGATCACAACCAGATACAGTGAAGACATCTGCCCTTGCGCTGTGCTACTCTGCTGCTGAGTATGCATACCCAGTGTGGAACACATCTCACCACACTAAAACAGTGGATGTGGCTCTTAATGAGACATGCCGCATTATCACGGGGTGTCTGCGCCCTACACCACTGGAGAAATTACACTGCTTAGCCGGTATTGCACCACCTGACATCCGCCGGGAAGTAGCAGCCAATAGTGAAAGGACCAAGGCAGAGACATCTCCATCTCATCCCCTGTTTGGGTATCAGCCAGCACGTCAACGACTTAAATCTAGACATAGTTTTCTAAGATCTACAGAGACACTCGCTGGAACACCTCAGCAAGCGAGAGTCCAAAAGTGGCAGGCTCAAACCCAGCACCTCAACCAATGGCTGATACCAAATGAGAGACTTCCTCCTGGGCACACAGAAGACTGGGCGACTTGGAAGTCACTGAACAGACTGCGTTCTGGCACCACGAGATGCAGAGCCAACCTTCAGAAATGGGGCTACAAAGTAGAATCCTCGACATGCGAGTGTGGAGAAGAGCAAACCACTGACCACCTGCTGCAATGCAACCTGAGCCCTGCCACATGCACAATGGAGGACCTTCTTGCAGCAACACCGGAAGCACTCCAAGTGGCCAGATACTGGTCAAAGGACATTTAACCAGCTACCAAACTCACAAGTTGTGTACTTTTCTGTTTGTTTGCTTTGTTCTGTTAGACTGGTTGTTCTGACACGACAAATAAATACCCCAAAGAGGACTCAGAGCGGCTTACAAGATATATAACATACAATATATTATATTAATAGTATAGTACAATATAGTACAATGATGCTGGGGAAAGTGGAAGGCAAAAGGAAGAGGGGCCGACCAAGGGCAAGATGGATGGATGGCATCCTTGAAGTGACTGGCTTGACCTTGAAGGAGCTGGGGGTGGTGACGGCCGACAGGGAGCTCTGGCGTGGGCTGGTCCATGAGGTCACAAAGAGCCGGAAACGACTGAATTAATGAACAACTAGTACAATATCAGTATTAAATATTACTATATTGTACTATACCATTATATTGTAATATTATTAGTAATATTACATGTAATATAAATATATAATTATAATATCATATTATTAGTATTAGTATTGTATTGCATTACATTATAAATATCATGAACTTCTTATTGCTCAATTTAGAATAAAACTAAAGAGATCAGGGAAAACACACAGACCAGTTAGATATGATCTCACTAACATTCCTAGCGAATATACAGTGGAAGTGAAGAACAGATTTGAAGGACTAGATTTAGTAAACAGAGTCCCAGAAGAACTATGGACAGAAGTCCGACACATTGTTCAGGAGGCGGCAACAAAGTACGTCCCAAAGAAAAGGAAAACCAAGAAGGCAAAATGGTTGTCTGCTGAGACACTGGAAGTAGCGACAAGACAATGATGCTGGGGAAAATGGAAGGAAAAAGGAAGAGGGGCCGACCAAGGGCAAGATGAATGGATGGCATCCTTGAAGTGACTGGATTGACCTTGAAGGAGCTGGGGGTGGTGACGGCCGACAGGGAGCTCTGGCGTGGGCTGGTCCATGAGGTCACGAAGAGTCGGAAATGACTGAACGAATCAACAACAACATATACGATATATTATATTATATTATATTATATTATATTATATTACACTAGCCGTCCCCTGCCACGTGTTGCTGTGGCCCACATGGGGGTTCTCTGTGGGAGGTTGGGCCCAATTCTATCATTGGTGGGGTTCAGAATGCTCTGTGATTGTAGGTGAACTACAAATCCCAGCAACTGCAACTCCCGAATGTCAGGATTCTATTTTCCCCAAACTCCACCAGTGTTCACATTTGGGCATATTGAGTATTAATGTAGAGTTTGGTCCAGATCCATCTTTGTTTGAGTCCACAGTGATGTCTGGGTGTAGGTGAACTACAACTCCAAAACCAAAGGACACTGCCCACCAAACCCTTACAGTATTTTCTGTTGCTCATGGGGGTTCTGTGTGGGAGGTTTGCTATCGTTGGTGGGTTCAAAATGCTCTGTGATTGTAGGTGAACTTTAAATCCCAGCAACTACAACTCCCAAATGACAAAATCATTTTTTTGAGTGAAGGACATACATTGGGTTGTTAGGTGTCTTGTGTCCAAATGTGATGTCAATTCCCCCAGTGGTTTTTGAGTTCTGTTAATCCCACAAACGAACATTACATTTTTATTTATATAGACTAGCCATCCCCTGCCATGCGTTGCTGTGGCCCAGTTTGGTGATCTGGAAAATTAAATAATGAGAAAGTTTTGATTTCTAATATATGTAATTTCTTTATGTTTGTGGGTAAACAGTATTTCTTGTTGTTTCAGTGTTGATGTGGGGATTGTCTCGTTTGCCTACTCTGGAACATGCAACATATAATTGTCCTTCTTTAGGGGTCCCTTTCAAATCTATGATACTATATCTCTCTCTGTGTGTGAATCATATATATCTATATCTATGACTGGATGGCTCTTTGTCAGAAAGGCTTTGATTACGTTTTCTTGCCCTGGAAAGGGAGTTGGACTGTATGGCCTTGAGTATTTTCTGTTGGTCATGGGGGTTCTGTGTGGGAAGTATGGCCCAATTTTGTCATTGGTGGGGTTCAGCATACTCTCCGATTGTAGGTGAACTATAAATCCCAGCAACTACAACTCCCAAATGTCAAGGTTGATTTCCTCCAAACTCCATCTGTGTTCATATTTGGGCATATGGAATATTTGTGCCAATTTTGGTCCAGATCCATCATTGTTTGAGTCCACAGTGTTCACTGTAGTTGAACTACAACTCCCAAACTCAAAGTCAATGCCAACCAAACCCTTCCAGTATTTTCTGTTGGTCATGGGACTTCTGTGTGCCAAGTTTGGTTCAATTCCATCATTGGTGGAGTTCAGAAGCTCTTGATTGTAGGTGAACTATAAATCCCAGAAACTACGACTCCAAATGTCAAGGTCTATTTCTTCCAAACTCCATCGTAATTGGGCATATGTATCTGTGCCAAGTTTGGTCCAGAGCCATCATTGTTTGAGTCCAGAGTGCTCTCTGGATGTAGGTGAACTACAACTCCCAAACTCAAGGTCAGTGCTGACCAAACCCTTCCAGTATTTTCTGTTGGTTATG